TCAAGGATCTGTTTTGGGGCCACTGCTGTTTGTCATTTTTATAAATGACCTGGATGAGGGCGTAGAAGGATGGGTTAGTAAATTTGCGGATGACACCAAAGTCGGTGGAGTTGTGGATAGTGTGGAAGGATGTTGCAGGTTACAGAGGGACATAGATAAGCTGCAAAGCTGGGCTGAGAGGTGGCAAATGGAGTTTAATGCGGAAAAGTGTGAGGTGATTCACTTTGGAAGGAGTAACAGGAATACAGAGTACTGGGCTAATGGTAAGATTCTTGGTAGTGTGGATGAGCAGAAAGATCTCGGTGTCCAAGTGCATAGATCACTGAAAGTTGCCACCCAGGTTGATAGCGTTGTTAAGAAGGCGTACAGTATGTTAGGTTTTATTGGTAGAGGGATTGAGTTTCGGAGCCATGAGGTCATGCTGCAGCTGTACAAAACTCTGGTGCGGCCGCACTTGGAGTATTGCGTACAGTTCTGGTCACCGCATTAGAGGTGGAAAGGGTGCAGAGGAGATTTACCAGGATGTTATGGAGGGAAGGTCTTATGAGGAAAGGCTGAGGGTTTTGAGGCTGTTTTCGTTAGAGAGAAGAAGGTTAAGAGGTGACTTGATAGAGACATACAAGATCATCAGAGGATTAGATAGGGTGGACAGTGGGAGCCTTTTTCCTCGGATGGTGATGGCTAGCACGAGGGGGCATAGCTTTAAATTGAGGGGTGATAGATATAGGACAGATGTCAGAGGTAGGTTCTTTACTCAGAGAGTAGTAAGGGCGTGGAATGCCCTGCCTGCAAAAATAGTAGACTCGCCCACTTTAAGGGCATTTAAATGGTCATTGGATAAACATATGGAATAGTTTAGGTTAGATGGGCTTCAGATTGGTTTCACAGGTCGGTGCAACATCGAGGGCCGAAGGGCCTGTACTGCGCTGTAATGTTCTATGTTCTATGTTCTATCTCCACCTCAGCACCATTGATACAGACAGGGGCGTGTCCTCCACTCCGCTTCCTGAATTCGATGACCAGCTCCTTTGTTTTGCTGACATTGAGGGAGAGATTGTTGTCTTTATACCATGCCACCATTAAGCAGTCCATCTCCTTCTTGTACTCTTTCTCGCCATTGTTTGAGGTATGATTCACTATGGTCGTGCCATCAGCAAAGTTGTAAATAGAGTTAGAGCTAAATTTGGCCACATAGTCGTGATTGTATAAGGAGTATAGTATGGAGGCTGAGCACATAGCCTTGTGGGGCAGCAACATAACTGGGGAGTAAATGTGAAGTCTAACGGCCTTTTATAGTGCCCAGTTACACACCAGTAAAGGGACAGATGTCTTTTTGAAATCCATAAAAGCATTGTGCCAACAGTATATAACTCAGGTTAGAACTAATTCAAATTTAGATCTAATGAGACTGAATGTTGTTTAAATTCTCATGATTTGAGCTGACCCTGGTCAATAAAAGATTTCAAAAGCTGCCTCTCTGGTGTAAAAAAAAGTTCTCTTTGGTAAGAAAGCAAAACTGCTCCAACTTGCAAAAGTCACGTAGTCTCCTGGAGGGACAATCAGACAGACTAAGTCTGTCAAATGTAATTGACTAGAAATGAAGGCAATTGACCTGAAAATGAAGACTACAAGTGCAGGAAACCTGATGTAAAAAAAACAAAATTCATTGACTGGATTGGCAGGGGAGCCGAGGGTACAGGCTGGAAAATCGAGTTAACCCGTAATTAGATCGGTCATGATCGAATAATAGAGCAAACTCAAAAAGCTGCCCTTTAGAGCCATCAGAGAAGGGAAGGACTGGTCTCAGCTCTCCATACCAACCATCAGCTGGTAGTGCTTACTTCTGCAAACATAAGAGTGGAGCCACTGAGGGGAAACACAGACTAAACTCACAAGCAGTAGCCACAAAATGGCAGTATTTTTAAATAGTTTGTTTTGATATCGATCAGGGAGACAAACAAGGTGGTTCTAATATTAAAAGAAAAGTTCAATAAAGTATAAAGACATTTCAGATAGAAAGAGAAGGGAGATAATTGACACATTAATTGGCTCCCTTCTTTGTTTTAAGGCCCTCTTAGTCAGTCACAATGAATATCTCATTTTTAGCGTGCAGCTATCGCACTTCAATTAAACTTAGTTAATCAAAAATGTAAGAGAGAACAATTCTAATGTGCTCTTGAGTGTAAAAAAAGACAAATAATGAAAAAAGCAACATCAAATACACAGACGAAAGGTAAGGAGCTCACAAAGAAGAGTGGTGGGGTATCTGATACAAAGATGATGATGAAAGCACGTGCTGATTACAGATTTTTAAAGTCTGAGTTACAAGAGTGATTTGGTTTGATTTATTATTGTCACATACCAAGATACAATGAAAAGTATTGTTTTGCATGCTAACCAGACAAAATATACCTTACATAAGTACATCAGGGTAACAGAACAGAATGCAGAATATAATGTTACAGTTACAGAGAAGGTGCAGAGAAAAATCCACTCTAATATATAAGAGATCCCTTCATAATGTTGATGATAGCAGGGAAGAAGCTATTCTTCAAGTGAACCTTGAGTCCAAATGTTTAGCTGGTGACTGGTTTCTTCTGTAATGGAGAAGCTGCAGATATCCTGGCGTTTTCAGTGAATCACTTTTATCGCACTTTATTGACTAGTTTCTGAGCTTGAAGGCGATAAAGAGAGAAAAGAGCTTCCAGTATTGTTGTTGTTATATGTCCATATTGCTTTCTCGCCCTGCTTTGTTACTCAAAACAAGCTACTGAAATGTAGCCTGTTTGTATATCCCAGACACTAGTTCCATTGTCTTTTCTCTTTTAATTTTTTTTATGGGAGATGGATGTCGCTGATGTGGCCTGCATTTATTGCCCATCCCAAATTGCTGCTTTAACTGCATGGATCGTTAGGGCCATTTGAGAGTCAACCCTTTGCTGTGGGACTATAATCAACCACATTGTTGTGTGTCTGGATTGATGTGTAGGCCAGACCAGGTGGATACAGCAAATTTCCTTCCCTAAAGGTCATTGGCGAACCAGATGAGTTTTTATGACAATCAACAGCACTATTGCAATTGACGGTTGCTAGTAGGCTAGCTTTGTTATTCCAGATTTTATTAAATTCAAATTTAAACCATCTGCTATAGTGCAATTCAAACCCATATCCCCAGAGTATTAACCTGGGACTTTGGGATTACCAGTGCACCTCCTCCTCAGTTTCAAACTGAACATTCCACAGATAACCTTTCACCTCCAAGTTACATTGTAAGGGTGAGTAAAATAAATGATGCAAATTTCTTAAAGCTTCAGAGTTTCAGTGTTTCTTGATTAAAATATTGGGATTATACCAAATTGGACAATGTAGTGGACACAAAGGGAAAAAGGTAACAATGTACCAGAAGACATTAATAAACTTGCAGATTGAGTGTTTAATTGACAAATTCATTTCAGTATGCATGCACGAGAGGGGGAGCCAGTTAGCTTAGGCAGCAATCATGTGGTTCAGAATCATGCCAACAGTGTAGGTTCAATTCCCATTCCAGCTGAGGTAGTCACTGTGCCCCTTGGAATGAAAGACAATGACAAACCACTGATTAAAAAGTTGTCAAAGAAAATTGCTCAAAATGAATCATCAGCAGACAATGAACCAAAGGACCAGACTTCGAAAAGAGAACCCATAGAATGGAAGAGAATACATGTGAGAAGGTACATTTTTGTTGGAAGAATTAAAAGACAATATATTGTTGGATAATAACTGTCTGAATAGGATACAAGAATACAAATGACCTAGATATTAGAAAAAACATGAAAGTAAGCAGCAGAGGGTAATAAATTCATAACAAAGAAAACCAAGAACTGAGGTTAATTTCTAAATAGGTTTGAAAAGTATGAAAATCATGCTAAACTGATATTATACTTTACGGCTAACGATTACATACTGTGATCAGTTCTAATTTCCATATTTATAAAAAGGGTCTTCAAGGCATTAATGTAAATGTAAGTAGGTTCATAATGAAGCTGGCAAAACTGAGCGGCTGTAAATATCATGAAAGATTTAACTGGCTGGCGCCCTGTTCTCTAATGAAGAGAAGGCTTAGTGGGTGATCTAACAGCTATTTAAGATAATGAAAGTGTTCGATAGGACAGATGTAAAGTAGAAGCAGCATTTTCTAAAGGCCATAAATCTAAGGCAGCTAACTCATATTTTCAATAGGAAATTCAGGAGGAATTTCTTTACTGAGAGACTGGTGTGAATGTGAATGTAGGGGCTTAGCATATTGGCATGGATAGAAGATTAGCTGGAAGCGGGTGTAAATGCTTTTCAGTTTGGCAAGATGTAATGAGTTGTGTACCATAGGAGTTGGTGCTGGGTCCTCAACTGCATACAATTTATATAAATGATTTAGATGAGGGACCAAAGGTAAGATTCACAAGTTTGCTGATGACATAAAGATAGGTAGGATAGTAAGTTATGAAGAGGAGTATTGTGTGCAGTTTTGGTTTCCTTATACATGGTGGGAGTGCATTCACCAGACTAAATTCCTGCAGGTTAGGGGTATGTCCCATGAGGAAAGATCAAATAGATGTAGGTTATATTCTCTAGAACATTGAAAAATGAGAGATGACCTTGCAGTGATCAATGGGGCAGAAAGGATGTTATTGCCTGGTTGGATGGCTGTAGAACCAGGAGACATGGTCCCAGAATAAAGGATTGGCCATTGAGGACTGAGATGAGGAAGGGTTTCTTCATTCAGAGGGTGTTGAATCTTTGGAATTCTCAATTCCAGAGGATTGTGTAGGCTCAGTCACTGAGTATGTTCAAGACTAATAGATTTACAAATATTAAAAACGTCAAGGGATACAGGAATAGTGCAGCAAAATGCTGTTAAAGAAGAAAATAGCAATGATCTCATTGATACACAGAGTAGAATCGCCTGTTTCTATTTCCTATAGTCTTATACTAACTGATTGTCCCTATGTTAATGCCCTCCCCAGGTCGAATAGCAGCTCTCAACATCCTGGGGAAAGGAATTGAAATTAACACAGTGCCATACTTCTGGACAGCTATGTTTGGGAAAAGTATTCGCTATGCAGGTAATGTCACCCAAACTTTTCACATTTCAGGAATATTTACATAAAGTGGATGGGTATCAAACCATTGCTACCTGAAAGAAATCTTTGCAACTGGGTCCCAAGGATTTCAGAATTTCACTGCCGCAAAATCAGATTTCAGTTCCAACAGCAATAAATAATCTTTCCCTTCTTATAAATGAAGAATAATGATTAGGAAATTGTAGTAAAATTTCCACATGGTAGGCTAATTAGTAAAGTTAGATTTCACGGGTTTCAGGGTGAGCTTGCCAATTGTTTACAAAATTGGCTTAACGGCAGTAAACAGAGAGTGATGGTGGAGGGTTGTTTTTCGGACTAGAAGCCTGTGACCAGAGGTGTTCCACAGGGATCAGTACTGGGTCCGCTTTTGTTTGTCATTTATATAAATGACTTAGATGAGAATATGGAATGCATGGTTAATAAGTTTGTGGATAACACCAAGATTGGTGGTCTAGTGGACAGCGAAGAAAGTTATCTAAGATTACAGAGAGATCTTGTTCAATTGGGTCAATGGGCTGAAGAGTGCCAGGTGGAGTTTAATTTGGATAAATGCGAGGTATTGCATTTTGGTAAAACAAACAAAGGCAATTAAAAGTAGGGCCTTGGGTAGCGTTGTAGAACTGACAGATCTAGGGATTCAGGTACATAATTCTTTGAAGTTTACATCAAATATAGATAGGGTGGTCAAGAAGGCGTTTAGCACACTTGCCTTTATTGCTCAGACCTTTGAGTATGGGTATTGGCTGTCACCAAAGATTTAAAAATGACGTTGGGGCAAATTTTTTTACAAAGAGAGTGATTCATGTGTGGAATAAACTTCCAGAGGAATATTATGGATGCGGGTACAGTTACAACAATTAAAAGACATTTAGATAAGGACATGAATAGGAAATGTTTGGAGGGATCTGGGCCAAGCGGAGGCAGGTGGGACTAGTTTAGTTTGGGATTATGTTCGGCATGGACTGGTTGGACTGAAGGGTCTGTTTCCATGCTGTATGACTGTACGAATCTGTAAATAAGAATGAATATGTTGGAAACAGATAGAAGATCCTTTAGCTTCTGCACAGATAACTCAATAGCTTAGATTTTGCAGTCAGCAGTGAAGAGATTCAGCTTACAGTTCTCTAAGCTGAGAGCTACCCACAAAGAGTTTTCATAGCCTCTTCAGCAGCAGGGAATTGTAACCGAGTGTTAGTGCTGTAACTGCAGGCCTGTACGCCGGTATGGAAGATCTGCAAGATGGTTGAGAAGGACAAGCAGTGGTTGGCTTTTGAATCAAGTCAATTGAAGAATGCCATTGAGACAAGCAAGTCTAAATCAGGAAGTATAAATTAGATTTAAATCAGGCACAGAAAGCAAAATAAAAAGAGGGGGAAATAACTCAAATTATAAAAAAGCAGAAGAGACGATACAGAATAATAATCTTTACTACTTCAACAACTTTCCAATAATAACTAATTCCTAAGGAATGAATGAAATTCCACATGTGTAAAATAAAGTTTTCAGGACCAGAGAGGTGTTCAGCAGTAATTATGACTGATTTTGCATTCAACCTTTACATGCATTTGAAAACATCAGCCCTAACATTTTCTGTTATGTTAAGTGGGCAAGCAGAGCAACTTCACAACCTTACAATAATTGCAATGCCAAGTTGATAACCTTAGTACTGTAGCCTCCCTCCCTTCTTAAACAGGGGGGTTACATTAACTATTTTCTAGTCCTCTAGGACCTTCTCTGACTTAGTACTGTTACAGCACAGCCTGTGGAGCAGCAGGTTAATCAGGGCTGCGAGTTCCAGATATCCCTGTTTCACAATGCATATGCAGACACCGAAAGTTATTGTTTGATTTAATCTGCAATAATAGGAAGAACAGAAATAAATAGTGGGGAAGTGTGAGAAGGGCAAGGCAATAACGGCTCTGTTGGCCCTACTGTTGTTCTGAATACAAAATCCAGACCAATGTTTCAGACCCTCTCTGTCTGTTACATATCGGATACAGCTGTTGAATAGATATCAGAACTGGAAAGGAGAACACTGCTTACATTGGAATAGAACCAAGTGAAGTGGAAGGAAAATAAATCAAAGGATGGTTTAAGGAAAGTCAATAATTAGGATTCAGGTTTTTGATAAGGTATCTTGGAGGTTGGCCATTGTAAGACTTCAGGATTTGAAAGTTATTTTTAATCCTCAAAAACAGTTGTTTTAGGTCAAGGGCGTGAAATTAAATTGTTAAAAATTTGAAACCTGAGCTCAAACTCCTTCAATCCATTCATATTTTATGTAACAGGTGTGGGATGACAGGCAGGGATTAGTGGGCTTTTGGGAGGTGAGTCTGTCATTCAGTTATACAAGCTTCCTGTTTTAACTCAAGTCAAAATGGCCACAGGAAACCTGGCAGGTAAAGGGAGGCAAGAAGGATACATTGGTAAATTGCTCCAGTCCCATCAAGGTTTTCTGTGATGAAGAAAACTGTAAATTGAATGAAGGTGCTGAGCAAGACTGGCAGGTGCGTTGAGATAAGGTGCAATTGTTCACGCTTCACTAAAACAAATAGAAGGTGGCAAAGCGGATAATTAAAATGACATGTGCTGGAAGCTTGGGGTCACATGATCAGATTGAATGGTGGCAGGGACAAGGGGAGAAATCATGGACCATGGTGCTTTTCCTGTTTGTAGGAGAAATAATGGGGAAGTGTGAGAAAGGTATGGCAATAATCATGGGTGATTTTAATCTAGGTGTAGATTGGCTGAAGTAGTTGATTGGCAAAGGTGTTCTGGAGAATGAAGTCATGGAGTATTTTTGGGACAATTTCTTCAAGTTCTGGAATCAAACATTGAGCAGGCTATTCTAGATCTGGTAATGTGCAATGCGATAGGAAGGATTAACGAGCTCATATCCTAAACAACTCTCGGGAAAAGTGACCATAACATGATTGAATTTCACGTTCCGTTTGAGGGAGAGAAGTGTGGGTCTAAGACTAGTGTTTTAAACCTAAATGACAACAACAATGAGAGTATGAAGGCAGAGCTGGCTAATGTGAACTGGGAATCAGGTAAAGGAATAGGTCAGGAGAGATGCAATGGCAGACATTTATGAAACTACTTCACACTCAGCAAAGATATATCCTAGTGGGGAAAAATACATTCGAGGAAGTACGCACCACCCATGGCTAACTAAGAAAGTCAGCAGATGAAATTGAAAGAAAATGCAACCAATTCTATGAAGATTAGTAGCAAAACAGAAAATTACACAATACCAAAAAAAAAGACAAATACTGACGAAACAAAAGGGAGAAATTAGGGCATGAGAGGAAGCTAACTAAAATATAAAAATGATATTCAAAAAGGAAAAGACTAAAATGGTGTCAGTTCTTTAATAAGTGAGCCTGTTGAATTTGTAATAGAAAGCAAGGAAGTGGAACAGACATTTTGCAAATCTTTTCGCTATGGTGGGCAAAATATCATCCTGGCAATAATAATAAATCAAGATGGGTGAGACAATGAGGAGCTTTAAACAATTGTAACCACAAAGGAAAGGAAACATACTATATTATTAGAACTAAAGGCTGGCAATATTCCCATGTCCTGATGGACTTCATCTTCGGCTCTTGAAAGAAATAGTTGCTGAGAGACTGGATGATTTCAATTTTGCGAAATTCACAAGATTCTGGAAATGTCCCAGAGATTGGAAAATTGTGAAAGTAACTCCTTTCTTCAAGCTCAGGAAGGAGATGGAAATCAGGAAACTACAGACGAGCTGGCTTAACATCTGTCATCAGAAAAGTGCTGGCATCTATTATTAAGGAGATTTTGATGTGACACTTATGAAATCTAATTTATAAATATGAAAGGGATATCATATTTGACTAATTTATTAGAGTTCTTTTAGAAGGTAATAAACCATGTGGATGAAATGGAACCCATAGATGTATATGCACATTTTCTGAAGACATTTGACCTCAAAAGTTACTATGCAATATAAGATTTCATGGTGTAGAGGAGAGCATATTAGTGTACATAGAGGATTAGTTAGCTAACTGGAAGCAGAGAGTAGGGATAAATTGTCATTTTTGACTTGGGTAAGAGGTGACAGATAGAGTGCAGACAGATAGGGATCAGTGCTGGAGCCTCAACTATTTATAATCCACATCAGTGGAACATATATATGGTTGCTAAATTTGCTAATGCCACGAAGATAGGTAGGAGAGTATGTTGTGAAGAAGACATAAGGTGTCTGCAGAGCAATATAAATAAGGTAAGTTGGTAGATGAAGCATAAAGTGGTAAAATATGATCTTGTTCATTTTGGCAGGAAAATAGACAAACGAGATTTTACTTAAACTGCAGAATACTGCAATGCAGAGAGATCTGGGAACTACAAAAAGTTAATATGCAATCCTCTTTGACAGCTAATTCATGTTGCTTTATTGTGTAGAGTAAAGGTGTTTTTAAGCTGATAACTCTGAATTAGTTGAAGGCAGCTAGAATGTTATTGTTCATTACAAGCAGAATGGAAACTAAAAGTAGTTCATTTTTGCTACAGTTGTATAGGACATTGCTGAGATCACATCTGCGTGCAGTTCTGGTCTCTTGTTTCAGAAAGGACAAAATCACGTTAGAAGCAGTTCAGAGTGGTCAAGGCAGGGAGTTGAACAGAGTATAAGGCAGAGTTTAATAGATTCTTGTTTAACGAAGGAATCTAAGGTTATGGGTGTAGGCATGAAAGTACGGTCAGATTAATTCAGATCACATCAAATGGTGGAGCAAGCTTGAGGGCCTGATTGACCCAATCCTGCTCCTAATTTATATGATCATATTTAATCTCTCCTGCCTTTCACCCTACCATACTGCCCTTCCTTCTTTTCTCCCACCCTTTTATGTTCCGAAAGTCTATTTAATTTCTTATGAAATGTCACAGACCGGAAATATTAACTCTGTTTCTCACCAGCATTTTCTCTTCTTTGTTTATATTTCTACTGTCAACAGCATTTTGCTCCTGTATTACGTTTCCTTGCAAATTTCCCCATGAACAAATAACAAAAAAAAGCTGTTAAGCTAAGAGTTATAGCTAATTAGTATTGGGTGGATTGGAGAGGATTTGCAAGGGCACTATCACAGGGGTCAGTGCCGGGACCATTTTTCTTCGATTTGGGCATAAGAAGCACAATCGCAAAATGTGCAGATAACACAAACAGCGCAGGCTTCAGAATGAAGGATCCATAAAGGATTTCAGGAGAAGCAGCATATATTCATTGTTAGAAAAATCAGCCAGTTTCTTTAGTGAGTGACACATCACACAATGAATCCATGCCATTTATCAACATATCTCTTAATTTATCTGATATAGAAAAACTTTCAGTCTTTGCAATTATTGGTTCTTGCAGGTCACGGGGAAGGATTCGATGATGTCATCATTCAGGGGGACCTGGACGAGCGGAAGTTTGTGGCTTTCTACACCAAGTATGTGACTATCCTCTTTGACAGCTAATTCATGTTGCATTATTGTATAGAGTAAGGGTGTCTTTAAGCTGATAACTCTGAATCAATTGAAAGGCCATTTAGCAGGGAGTTTTGACTAACAAAGCATTAGCCAGGATAATTTCCCAACATGTGGTGGCAAAATGTCACCATTGTATCATCAAATGCTTCATTTTCTTCAGACAACATGATAAAGGACGTTCCACAATGAGTGGCCATTCTAACTTCAGTAACTGATGAGTAGCAGACAATAGTTCTGTCCCTCAGTAATTATAATGACTCCACTGAGGAACATCATTGAGGTGGGAGTAGGGTACGGGAATGACCCATTCTGTTCCCTGCAAGGGTATACCTGACCTCTGACCTTTGCTTCCCCAATGAACCTTTGAACTCACCTCAGCGATGTAGGAAATGTGGATGCACATCAACATCCAAACATGGAGTGGTTCCAAGTACCCACAAACTGTTCAAAATGGTTCTATTCAGTAACAGTGACAAAGTTCCTCAGGCATCTTGTTTTCTGCACTGATCTCTGCCATTGCCAACACCAGTTAACAGAGCCTTGTCAGAAGAAGACTCAGGGACATTCAGTAACCAATACATCACACATGGTTCATCATTTTCATCTCAAATATCATGATGTTTGGGGGCAATGGTGTAAAGCTGATGTTATAAGATCTGTTGCCTATTATAAGGGGACCTCTGCTACATGCACTTTCCAGACCTTCCTTTCCTTTCATAGTGCATTGCATCAGACTTATCCACATTAAATTCCAGCTTATACCAACCTGACTGTGTCTTCCTGATATTTCTTATTGTCTGTCTTCCTGATATTTTTTATTGTCTTCCTTGCCGTCTGCCAACCACTGTTGTATCATCAAAATATTTCTGGCTTGTGCCAGAAATCATCCATTTCCAGTCAAAGCAAAAGTGGAGCTAACACTCAACTGAATCATTTCTGGCAACATCCATTGAGCCTTATTCCCAACCAGCCAGTACCTGCTTAATCATGCTTCCATATTTCCTTTTTCACGCTATGCCTGAAATATTCATTATCAATTTGTCAATTGACCTGTTCATTTGTCTTCCCCCCTCCACCAGATTAATAAACCTCCCTATCAGGCTACTGATCTGCCATTTTATGATTGATTTGGTTGACGTCATTCCCTGAAAAACTCCAAAGACACATCAAACTAGTGATTTAACTGGGGCTGAAGGGAACCTCCCTGGGGCTGGGTGTTCACTGATGACATGTCTGAATGGAGATGGGTGACCAAAAGCATTGGTGCAGACACCATTTGCAATGGCTTCTAGCCTCTGTTCCCAAGCCAGACAACTGTTGTGAAGGAAGGTGGAGAGTCAGGGAGGGCAGGCTAATCCGCAGCCATGTTGATACCAATTAGATGATTTAGGGGCTTGAACCTTCCAAGCTTTTACAGATGGACTCTGGATGGTGCCTAATGCAGAACACCTTCAGGATGGTGATAGGCGTGCTGACCCCACTGTCAGACATAAAGGGGCAGTGCACAGGAAGTGACTTTCTCCACTTCCTATTTAGGGGTTGTGCCAAATACAGAAGTCCCTTCTATTTTTACCAAATTTTAGAACAGACAATTCCATGGAAAGGATTTACAGAAATTCTTGGACACCGCCCCTGTAGAAGATAGCACGATTGTGAATGCAAAATGGACCTTGATAATTCTGTTCGATAAGTTATAATGAGCGATCTTTCATCACCCATTGAACCAAGCAGAATGGACCCTTCTGATGCGTTGTACTAACATATTTGACTCTTTATAGATGTTTCTTTCTATATGAAATAATGCTTATGTGTGTGTCCAGTGTTAAAACTTAAATTGTTTTACAATTTAGGAAAGCTACTGGAATGAACAACTGCATCCAGACCTGGAGGTAATATCAGAGCGTCTAGCTCATTGGTGGTGTAAACCATCAAGACAACAGTTTTTCTCTCTGTCTCTCCCAATCATGGTGCTGACAGCCACTCCTACTCACATGCGCATAGCCCTGTTTAAACTCTTCTCTATCCACTGTCGGCCACTCACTCAGTACAGCCCAAATGCCTTGCAACACCGGCAGATCTCTCTTCAACCGAATCCAAATGCCAGCTGATTTATCAATTATCAGTGGGAAGCTGATGTTAGATCAGTTAGAGAGGAATACCTTGCATTTACATTGCACTTTTCACAACCTCTGGGTGTTACAGCCAATGAAATACTTTTGATGTACAGTCTCTGTCACAAAGCAGGGAAATGCAGCAGCCATTATGTGCACAATTACATCTCATTAATAGTAATATGATAATAGCTAAGTGTCTAAACATCTGTTGTGCAGATACAGCAAGTGATTAGGAAACATATTGATAAGTTGGCATTTACTACAAGGGGAATGGAATATACAAGTCAGGAAGATGTAATACAGTGTACTGCAGCTTGGTGAGACCATATCTGGAGCACTGTGTACAGATTTGGTCTCCTTATATGAACAAGGTTAGAATTGCATTTAGAAGCAGAACAGAGAAAGTTCATTCAGTATATTCCTTATCATCTGAAGAAAGGTTGGGCCTTTACCCATTGAAGTTCAGTTGAATGAAAAGTGATCTTATTGAAATGTAAAGGATCCTGATGAGATGTAACAGGATGGGTACTGGGAGATATTTCCTGTTTTAGGGAATACCAGAACAGTTTAAGAATAAGAAATCTCCCTGTTAAGATTTGAGTTGAAGATAATTCTTTCCTCTCAGAGAGTCAACAGTCTGTGGAATTCTTTTCCCCATTAAACAGTGGAGGATAGATCATTGAACTTATTCAGGACTGAGTTAGATTTTTGATAAATAAGTGAAGCAAGAATTAAGGCGTGCAGGCAGGAAAGTGGAGTTGACACAACAACCAGATCAGCCAAAACCTTATTTGATGAAGTAACGGCCTTGAAGGGCTGAATGGCCTAGTCTTGCTGCCACGTCCTACGTTCCTATGTCCTGTGAAATCTGTTTTTAGTCATATTGGTTCAGGGATAGGTATTGGCCAGGAGACAAGGAGAACTTACTTTTTTCCTTTGAAAGGATGTGGATAAATGAATGAATTTTAAGATAACTGGAATAGGAACAAACAAGGTTTTTGTTATATATGCAAGTTGTTGTGATCTGGAATGTGTTGGTGAAATGGTGCTGGAAGAAAATTGAACAATAATTTCAGTGACTGAAAGAAAGGAAAATCGCAGGACTGTGGAGTAAGAGGGAAGGACTGACAATAAGTAGGTAATTCTTTCAAAGAGCTAGCATAGACACCAAGGGTTAAGTAGCCGTCCTTATGTGCTGCAAAATTGCATGACTCCATGAAATATTGTTATGGAAATGCAACTGTAGACCTAACAGGTCACTAGGACACTTATATAACTGTACAATGTTAGAGCTGTAGTGGTATTGAAATATAGGATCATAGGAATAGAAAGATGGTGTAATAGAGGTTTGGAGGCACAATCATATAGATCAGGGTGAGTAGAGAGGGCTGTGACCTATAGATGTATAAAAATTTATCATCATGTGTGTAGATATATAGAGCTAAAGATATCTGTTATATTAGTTAATGTAACTGAGTGAAAAAGAGAGTTTAGAGGCGTGACTATAGATGGTTAGAGGTATGACGCAAACTGTGATAAAGAACAAATATAGAGGTATAAAGCGTAGGTGTAAAGGTATAGGTACATAGGCATTGTGGTATGCGTATATAGCTGCACAGGTATCAATGTATAGGGACACACATTAATACATAAAGGTATAAGGGCAGGGGTATTGATGTATGCATTTCTAGAGAAAGAGGAGGTATTAATGTATATATGTATAGGGACACATATAGATATATATGTATTGACAGCTTTAATTTACATTATTTAATTTGCCATATGCAGAGCACAATCGCTGACTTATAAAGCACATTACTTTACTGAAGTGAAACCTAGTGAATCACTAACTCTCTCACCTGTGTGTGGCCAAGTACTCTGGCAGTGAAGAGGTTAATCAGCTTTGTCTTGAATTATAAAGCCAGCAATGAAAGTTGAACTGATTCCCGAATCCTTGATTGTACTGATCACCGCTTTCCAATAGAAAAGACTTGCCGCTTCACAAGAGTTGGAACTCTGGGAGTCCTCTGTATTCTGTCAAAGATTGGCTGCCCATTTTTATGGGGTTGCAGCCCAAGATCAGCTATGATCATACAGAATGGGAGAGGATGCTCGATGGGCTGAATAATCTCCTGCTCCTGCTAATTGTGTTCTTGTGTTCGCTTACACTTTAAACAATTTTACTTTTCAGAGAAGACTCCTATCAGCTGTAATAGAAATATAGAAACATAGAATATAGGAATAGGAGCTTCCTCTATCATTCAGTATGATCATGGCTGACCATCAGTTCAGTACCCTGTTCCTGCTTTTTCCCTGTATAATTTGATCCCTTTAACCCTAAGAACTATATCTAGTGAAAACATTCAATGTTTTGGCCTCAACCACTTTCTGTGACAGAGAACTCTACAGGCTCACCACTCTTTGGGTGAAAAAAATTCTTCTCATCTCAGTCTTAAAAGGCTTGCCCTGCATCTTTAAGTTATGACCTCTAGTTCTGGACTTCCAGTCATTGGGAACATCTTTTTGTGCACTTATTCTGCCTAGCTCTGTTAGAATTTTATAGGTTTCTATGAAATCCCCCTCATTCTTCTAAACTCCAGTGAATGTAGTCCTAACTGATCCAGTGTCTCCTCATACATCAATCCTGCCTGCCCTAGAATTAGTTTGGTGAATCTTTGTTGCCATCCCTCCATAGCTGGAATATCCCTCCGTAGCTGGAATATCCCTCCTCGGATAAGGAGATCAAAACTGCACACAGTATTCCAGGCGAGATCCAACCAAGGCTCTGTCCAATTGCAGCAAGACATCCCTACTCCTGCACGCAATCCTCTGTCTATGAAGGCCAACATACCATCTACCTTCTTCACCACCAACTACATTTGTGTGCTAAATTTCAGCAACCAGTGTAAAAGTTTCCCAAGCCATGGTACACCTTCCCCTTTCCCAATCTATTGCCAGTTAGAGTTAACCACGTTAGCAATGTGGATCTGCACCTCTCATAGGATTATAAGAAGTTTAGGAACATCCCATTCAGGCCCTCAAACTTTCTCTGCTATTCAGTTACATCAAGGTTGACCTGTACTTCAACTGTCCTTTTGTTTCATATCCATATTGATACCCTTAGCTGTTAAAAATAATTATGTTCAGCTCTTAGAGTTTAATTGCTACTCTGTCATGTTGGGTTTCGTTGCTGTACATCATGTTTATCCGATTTATCACAGAGCAATATAGAAATGATTGTAAATCCAAAGTTCATTTGCCCAACTTAAAATGTCTTAGAATCTACAAATATTTCAACCTGCATTTCTCTCTCCAGGGAGTTTGGATCTTTCTAGAACCTTCTCTGAGTGTATGGAGTCAATCACCTGCTCCACCCTCATTCATGAGCAATTAAAGGCAGCTGTGATCAGATCATTAATTACGGGGAAGGATAAAATTGTGAATTCAATATTCAAACTACTCACTCTACCCATTCCTAAAAACAGAATCAAGTCCTGGTTGACATCTGATTCACCAAGGTCCTCTAGGGAAAGAAATCTGTCGTCCTTACCTGGTCTGGCCTACACGTGACTCCAGACCCACAGGAATACGGTTGAATATTAGCTGCCCACTTAAAATGCCTAACAAATTAATCAGTTTAAGTGGGAGAAAGAATGGATAATAACAGAGCATGAACGATTTTTTAAAAAGCTTAATTAAAACTAAAATCTCCTCACTATTGATTTCCTAATAGATTTTGGGACCGGCTGGTGGGTGTGTGTGTGTGTGTGTGTGTGTGTGTGTGTGTGCGTGTGGTGGGGTGGATTGGTGCGAGCAGTGGGTAAACAGTTTACATCCAGGCATTGAAGGTGAAAGATATAAACCTCTTTCATCAAAACTGACGTGAAGAATCAATTAAAGATACCTGCTACGTTCTGTCAGCTGGCTTCAATTGATTTATTCCCTGACAGACTGAGCAGTAAAACTGCTGTTCCGACAACTAATGCAGAGCAGCATCATTATTCTGCTGGACTTGAATCAGTGACTGCCTACCACATCTATAAAATTGTTAGATTTATACAGTTTCAGCTGCCAGCAAAAATAATTCAGGTAGCGATATCTTGCCCACTAGCCGCCCTGTGCCTCTGGAAGCTGATTCCCAATGGCAGTGACTCCAGAGGCTTAGGGAGAGTGTGGCACAGTGGCTCAGTGGTTAGCACTGCTGCTGCACGGGACCCAGGTTCAATTCCAGCCTTGGTTAACAGTCTGTGTGGAGTTTGCACATTCTCCCTGTGTTGGGTGGAGTGGCCATGCTAAATTGCACCATAATGTGCATGCTAGGTGGATTAGACATGGTAATCCAGGGGTTACAGGGATAGGGTGGGGGGGATTGAGTCTGGGTGGGATGCTGTTGGTGGGTCAGTGTAGACACAATGGGCTGAATGGTCACTTTCTGCTCTGTAGGGATTCTATTATTCTCCCCCGATATTTTTCAAATCAAAAGCCCTCTGCACTCTTGGATTCAGACAACTCAAAATAATAAATATAAAAATAAATATAGCTCACGGCTACACTAGTGCAATGATAGTGTACCTGCCTCTGAGTCCAGGATGTTCAGGTTCACACCTGACCAGCTCCAGAGGTATGTCATAACATCTCTGAATAGGTTGATTAAAAGTAAAAAAAAAGTGCAGTGGTGATATCAACTGCTGCATCTGCAGAATGAGTAATAAATGTCAAGATATATGTTTACAGTACATACTGAGGACATCGAGGGATTCAAATTGAATGCTTGAACAAAAAAAAACCTCTGGAAATCAGACACTGGTGTCTGATCAGAATAACAGTTTCTGAAATTTACCCATTTCCCACAGGGACAAAGACCAAAAGCTAACAAGTTCACTTTCAGCTCAACGAATTTCAAAACTAACTCTGCTGCTTTGATCTTTTCTCTCCTTTTAAGTTAATCGATGTAGTTGGGGCTACATGTTTAGATAACTGGTGGTGGCTCTTGTTTCTTCTTTAGTAGCTTTTCTGATCTTCCCTCAAACTAATGCACTGCAAGATTCCATAAAATAAATATTTACAATAAAAGAACAGTGCCTTAATTTTATGTCCATGTTCTCTAGGAGTGATGAGGTAATTGCTGTGTCAAGCATGAACTATGACCCCATCGTGTCTAAAGTAGCAGAGGTCATGCAATCTGGAAGAATAATCAAGAAGCGGGATGTTGAGTAAGTGTCACTACTGGACTGCTGGGTGTGTGTGAGGTGAGACCATACAATGAGATATTGCCTTCACTGCATCTTGTGACAGGAGCAGGGACTTCAATAAGGTAGGGAAGCCTGCACATATGCACAGAAATAGTCGGAACTGCAGATGCTGGAGAATCTGAGATAACAAGGTGTAGAGCTGGATGAACACAGCAGGCCAAGCAGCATCAGAGGAGTAGGAAGGCTGACGTTTCGGGCCTAGACCCTTCAAGGGTCTTTGAGAAATCATATTCAGGGAAAGGAAGCATCCTGCAAGTCCATTGCTAATTTCTGGTCCAAAATTGTCTCCTGTCTGAGGTTGGATTTAGTCATACTTTGTAATCCCAATTTCAACAAGTTGGACAGACACTTTTTATTTTAATGTTTAACTTTCATTTTCCTACTTCTATCTGTAATAGAATATCCCAGGCCAGAGAAGCAAACAACGTGGTGTGAGAGATTTTCCTGTGTCACTGTTATAGACCAGACCAAACCCCCTCAGAACATAAAAAGGAGACAGCCTAGACCTTAACGTTTATCTTATTTAAAGGCAAGTGTAAGGCACTACATTCCAAATGTGATTTGATTGGTCAAACTACTAGGCTTTAAGCAAAATACACTTTATTCTCACACCACAGTTAAAATACTAATAAAGAAGATTTGGCGTATTTTAACTCTATTGAAATATTTAACAAAATAATATATTATTTAACGACAACTCATCAACTGTTCCAATATAGCAGCATCCTATAAACACACCCTTGGCAAAGGCTAATTGAGCAAAACAGATTTGCTCACTTCCTATCTTCTCCAGTCCAGGGAAAAGGAAAAAACCGAAAGCATGAATTGAGCAACAGAGAGAGAACTCAAGCTTTTTGCAGCAACAGGGAGAGAGCTGTATCTAGCATCTTTGACTCCAAAAAACCCCCAACTTCAACAAGTTAAAGCAAAATTAAAACCTTGGATCTGTGTGAGCCTGACTCTACCCACTCATGCTTCTTTTGTCTAAAAAATCCCAAAGCTCTTTACCTGCTTTCCATGGAGCAGACATCTCAGCGCCAGTTTACAACACTCCTCTTCAAGAGAAACAGGACAGAACAAATCCCTCTTAAAGGCACATTTTGTCACAGTCATTCTTTCTTACTATGAGAAGTATAACATTTATATTCAGTAAAGATTGCCTGGGGGTGCTGGGTATAACATTTCTTCACATTTTACTCCCAAATTATACTTCGTTTTTCAATCTGCTTTTTCCCTGCCTCTTCTAGCTGACTCTATGGATCCTGGTGAATGAAGTGTCTGAGAGACCATAATTGTTTCGGGCAGGTTGAATGGATTGTATAGCATTTCTAGAATACTATGTCTCCATATGTCTCTTCACCTATAATGCGAAGGATGAAAGAGCTAATTCACTTTGAGGAGTGGACTTACAGAGCATCATACTGCTCACTCTACCTATTCCCAAACGAGAAAAAAGTCCTGGTTTTCCAATATAACAGTATCCACACACAGATTTACTTTTACTTCCATACTTTCTGAATTATCAAAGCACTTAACCCAATTTGGAGATAGTCCCTAAGTATTAAGCCTGTTCAGAATTGCCTTACAAAGAATATTGGAAACGGCAGTTCTTTGTGGAAGAGCTCTGCACCAAAACCCATTAATACCGCAGACATTGTCCTGTCACTTCGATTGTAATAAGAGACAACAAGGTGCAGGGCTGGATGAACACAGCAGGCCAAGCAGCA